GAGGTTCTCACTTTTCTCTGGGGAAAGGCGGGCGAGTGGCGAGGTGGGAAGTCGGCTCCGGGCGGTCAGGGGCGGCTTTGTCTCCTCCCCGCCCGTGGAGCTGCGGGCGGCGGTGCCCCGCGGTGCCCGGCGGCCGCCGCGCTCACAGCCGCGCTTCTCTTCCAGCCTGCATCTGCGAGAAGAACAAGCGTGTCATCAACTGCAAGATGGTCAACGGCGTCTGCTGGTGCGACTCGGTGGGATCCCGCGTGTCTGTGAACTGCGAAACTTGTGAGTAAAGCCCGCGTGTCGGCTGCGGCGTGCTCTGCCTGCTACGGGGCAGCAGGAAAAGTGCCGGCTAAACTCAGAGGAGTGTGTGAAAACGGCCAGTGGCTTCCTAGCAAATAATGGTAGCCAAGGAGGGAAACCTTTGTAGTCTTCCACGTCAACTGGTGGTGGAAGATAAGCGTTTAGGATTCCTTCTCTGCAACTTGTGTGGATGTGCGTAGGCTTACTGATGCAGACTCCTCCATTCTCCTTAATATTCGGTCTCTACTGGCAAGGATTTCTCCCAGATCAATTTTTAGCTTCCTTATGAGCACATATGACTTTTCCTACAAATCTGGAAGCGAAAGATCATTGTTTCGGGATCTTACTCTTGGTTCAGGCTCAGCTAAGCTGTAAATGATTCTCCCAATGTACGAAATGGAAGGTGGCTGAACTTCTTACACATTTGCCTTGGGAAGCTGAGTACCCCAGTTGTGTTGACTTCCTGCACCACCTACATGTTAGGCACCCGTTCTTCCTTGTAAGAGCTTTAAGTCTAGTTGCTTATGATGTAACCTTTTGTTTTTATAGACTTAAAAGCTCTCTTTTGAATGTGCATGGTCTGATGCTGCATGACACGACTTTCTGGTTATTTCTAGTGACTTCAAAATGCCTGTTGATGAAAGCAGAAGTGACAAGCTCGAAATCAGGTCGTCGTGAGAAACCAAAAGATGCATTTGAAGATACTGATGGCCTTTATGATCCCGAGTGTGAAAATACTGGTGTTTTCAAGGCGAAGCAGTGCAACGGAACTACCTGTTGGTGTGTGAATACGGCTGGTGTTAGAAGAACCGACAAGCATGACGAAGACTTGAAATGCAATCAGTTAGTCAGAACGACGTAAGTCTTTCAACAGGGTGTGCTGTGACGTGAAAACGTTCCTGTATTAGATTCTGCGTGGTAGAGGATTTACCTCTGTGAATGATGCACTGGGGATGAATGAAGATGGAGCAATAAATGCTTGATTACTGCTTTTTTTTTTTTCCTTCAGAAACCAGGAGGTGTGGAAGGGGTTTGGAAGGGGGTTTATTTTTCCTCTCACTGATGTGTTTTTTTTTCCCCCGGGGTTAGATTTTTAGTATGCATTATTATGTGTATGTGCTTTAAGAATATTCAGTATACTTGCCTTATTGCTTCAGGTGGATCATCATTGAAATGAAACATGCTGAAAGAAATTCTCCTCTGAACACCGAATCTTTAAAGAAGTAAGTGATGATAGTAAGATGTCGCAAGAGTGTCCACATGCACTGCTAGATATCTAGTGTATCTAAGCAGTTGTTGAAAAGCGTTGTCAAACCTGTGAATTCATTTGTAAGACCTCAGAAATGATCTACAGATCCTTCATAGAATTGCTTTAATTTTTATTGGAAATAAATTAACTGGTACTAAGATTCACTTACATTTAAATTGATTGCTACTTTTTTTTTTTTAATCAAGTCAATATACTGAAGTAAATGGAAGGTAGAAATGTGAAACTGCCGAAAAAGTAAACTAACAGAGATGGCAGAGGGACTGCATAGAAGCAGCAGGAGAAAAATGAGTTAGCTATTTTTTGGGTAGAATAAAATCCTACTTCTCTCTGTCAGAAGTCATATAAGAAGAAAAGTGTGCTTGTAGCTATTAGATTATTTCCCCCCACACACACACTGGAACAAAAGCTGCTACTCTACCTCCTCTTCTGTACTCTCAAAACTGTTCAGACTTCAGTAAGTTCATCTTCGCTGTTAGGAATTAACAGAGCTCTGGCATAATTGAGTAATGGGTTTGTGCTGTGTGGTTGGGGTGGTAGCAGTTGGTATGGCTTTAGACTGGGGACCACAATGGTGTCGATGAGTCACTAGTGGTTTAACTGTTGGTAAAACACGGCATAGTTGCTTAGCATTGAGGCTTTTTCAGGTTCTCTCACTCTGCTGCCCCAGTGAGTAGGTTGGGGGTGGGCAAGAAGTTGGGAAGGGGACGTGGCAGAGACAGCCGCCCTGAATTGACCAAAGAGATATATCATCCCATGTTCTATAATGTCACGCTTGGCGATAGATCTCGGGTGAAGTTTTTCCTGGGTAGCCATTGCTCAGAGATTGGCTGGGCATCAGTCGACTAGTGGCGAGCGATTACTTTTGCATCCTTTGGGGTTATTTCCCCCACCCAACCCTTTCACTTACTAGACTGTTTTTATCTTGGTCCGTGAGGGTTTTTTCTTTGCTTTTACCCTTCTGATTATTCTCCTAATCTTGCTAGGGGGAAGTGAGTGAAAGACATAAGTGAGGGTTTAGCTGTCAGCTAGGGACAACCTGCCACAGAGAGACTGCAGGAAAAATACCCAATTACATGTCTCCCCGCTTCTGAAAATAGATGTGTAAAATGGCACTGTTTTTAACGACTATGGCTTTAATACCCTTACAGGTTCTTCAGGGATACAATTACCAATCGTTACATGCTCGATGGACGCTATGTAACTGGTGTTGTGGTAAGAGGCACATAATTTTTAATAAAGTATTGGAATTTTATTTTCCTGTGGATAACTTTTTAACACTCTTGTTTGACTAATGCAGTACAGCACGGATCTTATTAGAAGCTCTCAAAGTAGTGACATTGAGCAGCTAGCAAATAGCTGTATCTGAACTGAAACACTGAGGAATTACATACTGCTCTCCTCAGTCTGTAGAAGAATTCTTACTTTGCTTCGCTAAAAATTGAATTGTATTGTAAACAGTTGACTTGTGAACAAGTACATAAACTTGATTGGGAATGTGAGTTCACAAGTTGGATCATAATATTTTGCTGTGTATTTGATAGTTGGATTTAAACTAGACCCTTCTTAATATACCATACTATATTTTTTTGCAGTACGAAAAACCTTACATTACTATTGATTTGAAGCAAAACTCCTCAGACAAATCTTCTGGAGATGTGGATATAGCTGATGTGGCCTACTATTTTGAAAAAGATGTAAGTGTGTCATGGGTAGAGTCTGCCAAAGACATAAGTGTGTACATTGCATTCAGTAGTCTTACTGTGTACTGGCTAAAGCAAGATGAATTATTGCAGTGCCTAGATGAATGCCTATTACAACATGAAATGGTAAGTCTCTCTTTCTCCTGTCTGTTCTTAGGTAAAAGGTGACTCCATCTTTCATAATAACATGCTAAACATGAGCATTGATAATGAAGTGCTGAGGTTTGAAAAGACAGTGGTCTACTATGTTGATGAAATAGCACCGGAGTTTTCCATGAAGTCTCTGACTCCTGGCCTCATTGCTGTCATTGTAGTAGTAATAGTAGCAGTAGTTGCTGCCATTGTTGTTCTGGTAAGTTCTAAAAAAGCTTTGAAGCAGAATGGGTAACTAATTTGGCAAATAACATGCCAGGCTAATTGGACTCTGATAGAAAGAGTCTTCTGAGATCTGGGAGGTGGGAAAGAACTGTCATACTGTCACTGTTCAGCTTATGACTTGAAGGGTGTTGCACGGAAAATGAAAGTATTAAGAGAAATTGAGGTGAATAGAGGACCTGTCTTGCCTCCTTAAAGTGGTTGAGAGTGATAGGCAGCCTCTTGAGTACCTCACTTTGTAAGGATGGGGAAGGGACCACTTCAAGTTTGGAGTTTTAAAGTCACAACATGTAAGGTCAAGACTTGAATAAAAAATTCACAGTTATTCTGTCCTCTTGCAGGTCTTCACAAGGAGGAGAAAAGGGAAGTATGTGAAAGCAGAGGTAATTGATTTCTCTGTATGTGTGGGAGGGGGGTGGCCAGAATGCAGGAACTTGTAAATTTGCTGTAGGTTAAAAACTTGATTTGAGTGCTTCATGCGTTCAAGAAATCTGAAAGTATTGAAATTCTGTAACTAGCTTTCATCTTTGTGTAGTTGATCATGCTTTTCCTGCACTAGTTTCAAAGGCAACTGGCGATCTGCATTTCCCAGGAGTGGGAGGAGGTGCTGCCAGCAAGTGCTATTTTTACATATCTATAGCAAGAGCTATACAATCCACAGGAAATACTGAGAGTCTTGTTCTGTCATGAAGACCTCTACTTGAGGTATTTGCATGGAGCTTTGCAGTTTCTATTGAAGAGCTGCTTTCCAGTGGAAGAGTAACAAATGGTACTAGTGCATGGTGCTTCACCCCAAGTGTAGAACTTTTTGTAAAGGAATCCAAAGGGTGTTGTAGCTAAATGAGAAAGTTTCCTGCACACACCCCAGAGTGCTGTGTTGGGTTTTTTTTTAAAAGAAAAGCTGAAGTGTTACAGTTAGACTTGGCATGTTTGATTCTGTTAGTGTTACATCAAATCCCTTTGCTAATGAAAATTTGGATTGTTAAGCCCTATTGACCACTTGGGTTTCTTGTTGAGAAGTAGCACAAGTGTTGATCTCCCTCTCTTTCCACCCCTCCAGGTAAAGGAAATGAACGAAATGCATAGAGGACTGAATGCATAACTAAATCCGCTGAAGACAGAATAAGATTCAAACAAACATAGTGGAAACATTGGAGGCATGGATCTTAACTCTTAAAGATTCCTCCTGAAAGAGAGGCAATTGTGCTCACTAATGATTGTTAATAACAGCCAAGACTGGTAACCATGCTACTATTTTTACTATTTGTTGAGAGTTGAATCTTAAACGCTCCATCTTACTCAAGTCAAACTTAACTATTGCTCCCTGATTTTATTGTTTTTATTGTGATTAAATAAGTTGACAACTGCTGTTACTAGGGTTTCAGAGCATACATGTTTAAATGTTTTTTACCCCTGTGGGAGGTTTATTGAAAGTAATGATTTTTGTAGCCATGTTTTAACAAGACTCTCTCCTGTATAACTGAACATGATGTTTTATGGCTGTTTGTACATATTTGAAGTTGCTGTAACTTTTTTTATGACTTGAATTAATAAAACTTTGAAACGGGCTTCTACTTCTTCCATGTTGAAATGATGAAGATCTGCTAAGCTACTGTGCTTAAAGATTCAGCAGTGTAGTATTTCCTTAAAACACCAACCTTGATGTAGGTGAAAAATATTCTAGAACTCTAAAGAAGTTTGTATTGAGTTTGTATCTCAATAGCATGTTATTTTTTCTTAAAGCTGTGAAAAGTATGCTTTATCCTATTTTCCCCTCTTAATGTGCAACAGGAGTAAAATAAAATATGGATTGTTTGTATAAAAAAAATATGCTGTGAATGTAGTAATTTCAGGAATGTGTAGACTGCTCTTTCGAATGCTAGGTAAGTATTTATAATACAACAAGCCTCTAATCTAGAACATCTCGTGCAGGTTTGGGGGTGGGTAGCCTTGACATCTGTGGAGCTGGGGAAGAGCTATTGCGCCATTACCATGATTTACATAACTATCCATTGCAAAGGTGTTGCTGGGGAGAATCTGTTCCTGCTGTTTTACTGTGACTGTTACAGTGGTTGATGAAACTTAGGTACTCTACCTCCCAGAGCTTGGTTAAAAGAGCTTGCTTTGGCAGTCAGTAACCTATGTAATGTATATTGGTTAGCAAGTAAATATGTATATGCTGGACAGACTACCTGATTTTATAAAGGAAATGCTGTAACCCCTTGCCAAAGAAATAATGAGATACAAGATAAGGAACTGACAAATCTTATTACTAATATAGTGTTTGTTTTGACCCACCTGCCTAAAACAGGCGAAGTAGGATAAACAGTTAAGTGAGAGGATATCCTACATATGGTGTTAATAAAACTGAATGTGAAACATAGTCCAATAGAGAGCTTGTATGTGTCTATGAGCAACAGGGAAGTTAATGGACTGCATTGAATGTACCTCTGATGACAGAGGTCACCCAGTACCCTTCTGCCTTTGAATGAGGTGGTAGCTGACATGCATGTGTTGAAATGTAGGCTGTGACTGTTCATTTGGGTCTTCTAGCATCTGGTGCTACAACGTGAGGGGGGTGTGTGTGTGCTGAGCTGCTGCAGCGCCCAGGTTCTGTAGACAAGAGAGATTTAGTAAGCTTTGGGAAGCAGAGACATACACATCTATTTGCACTGACAAGCTTCTGTTCTTGTTAAGGACAAAAATGCTGAAGTGGGGAATTCACAGGAGTGCTTTGCAGCCTTTTCAGGTGTATCTGTCAGTGACAACTTCTGTAGGGCAGTCTCTCCCTCTGCCAATATATGCCACTCCCTTTCTCCCCAGGTATGCAGCAGTCTGCTGAGGTATACTGAATTTCATACAATTCTGTTAAACAAGGTTTAACAAGCTGTTAAACAAGGCCTAGTTTTCAGGAAGCTTGTCTTCTGAGTTGTGTATTACTGTCTTCCCTGATTCTTCACTCTTCATATCCTTTACTTTCTTAAACATCTGCAATGTGGTATCTTTGCCATTACTTTCTTCCCCCCAGGATCACAGTGCTATTGTTTCCTTTGCTCCTCCTCTTCCTACCCTCCCCATCTCCATTTCATACCTTATGAAAGAGGTGTTGTGTGCAGTGGCTGGGCTGGAGCTACACATGTGCTGACTTGACCGGCTGGTACGTACCTGCTGTGTGGCCTGGACCTTGTCCCAGTCGATTTGTTTGAATGTCATTTTCTCTCTACTTTCCACACAGTAGAGGAAGGCATTTAGATACTTTTCAATTTTTTTACCTAATGGAACTTTTCATGTTAGATACTTGCACAAGTTTAATGTCTCTAATACCATCTTATCCCTTGTCAAATTTGACTGAAACTAGCCAAGGAGCTAGGAAACTACAGAATTTACAGAAATTAATTAAAAAATAGAAGACAGTTTAACTAAATCCACAACTTGAAGGGATTTTACTTTTTCTAAACTCAAGTACTATGGTACAACCATGATGCTCAGCTCTCAAAATGGTGGTCAATAATAGTTTTTTCCTAAGTTTCCTTTACTAAGTAGTTTAATTGACTTTTATAGGGTTTTGGTCTTGTTTACTAAAAAACGCACTTGTGCAGCTGCATAAAAGTGTGTATTTATGGGGAAAAGGAAAAAGATGAGGGGGACAAGAGTTGAGAAACTAGTGTATCAGCCTCCTGCAGCTTTATTGTGTTTTATAGGGGTTTTTTTAGCTAGAGAAGACTAATGTACTGAAAAAAAAAAAAAACCAAACCAAAAATAAAACCAAACACTATGAGATAGTGTCAACTTTCCACATACACATGCAATGTTTCTTCTTGTATATAAAGCAGATTTGAACTACTGGCGAAAATGATTGCTGTTGAAAAATAATATGGTATGAGATAGCAAAATACTAAGTGTTCTCTATTTTAATAATTTGAAAGTATTCAGCAAAGTTAAAAAACAAGTTTCCTGTAAAAGAAACAAACCAATAGAACTTAATAAAAGAGTATTAGTCACTGCATGAATTTTTAACAAGGTAATGCTTCCATTTGCCTAATTCATTAACTTCCTTCAGTGAAGGAACATGTTTTCTAAATCTAAAGTTCTACATAAAGTTGCGATACCATGTTCTCTTTTAATGTAATGTCAATTGTGATAAAGGATATGAAGGGCAGACGGAAGATTGATTAAATAATTTGAGACTGAATATTTTTTACAGAGAGAGGATCAACATAAACTACAAGTAACCCTAGTAATAATATTTGATTGATGCCTGTGTACAACATGGAAAAATAGCATTTGTATAGGCAAGTGGAAATCTATTAATTCCTTATGAGTTATGAGTTAATTTTGCTCAGCAGTAATAAATGTTTATGCAAACACGAGAGACTTTTTAGAAAAGGATATGCAACTAACGCATATGAGAATGCATGACCAAAAAAGTCTATGAAGCTTCCTTCCAAAGATCTAAGTAATCCCTAAGCGTAGTTTCCCCAAAACTACAAAATGAAAAGTTGGAGTGTTGCATTCATAGGGTCTGTTGACACTGGCATGCTCATTACACTCCCGAACTATCATAGTAAGTTCAGTAAGAGAAATAATATTGTTTATGAACCATGTGTTTTTATATCCTTACCTGCTGGACTTTGCCATAATATACAGTGACTTTGGATTACAGACTGTTTTAAATAACCCGAAAAATATTGTAGGAATCTAAAAATACCTGCAGCTCTGCTGCCCTAAATTTACAATTGCTAGTTACTGAATTTTAGCAACTCCCAGGAGAGGCTGTGGTCTCATATTAATTACAAAGGTCCATCGCTGGGCATACGGGCAGTCAGGCACGCTATAGGCATGGCTTGTATGTTAGGGATAGTTGGGCCCATCCCTGCAGAATTTTATGAAATTTATTTTATGAAATGATCTTTATTTTATGGGATCTATGATTTATGAAATCTTTTTCCTCCTTGTCTTAGCAGTGACACGCAATGGCGTATGCAAGGGTGGTAGAGAAAAAGGAGGTGGTGTGTAATGTTAGAGGCAACATTTCCCCAGATCATAGCATGTAAAAACTTGATACAGGTAAGAAGTGTTTTTTCTCTAACCTGACAGCACAATCCTTGTGCATTCAGAAGTAAAGCATGGCTGTGCCAAATTGATCTGAGTGAAAAGAGTGCATACAAGAAAGTTAAAAGGTCCTTTACAAGCCAATAGCCCCATTTTCTCATTTCAGACTTACATTATCTAAATATTCTTATCTTGTTAATATTATCTTAAGTTTCTGCTGCATTATAAACACAGACCAGTCTAATGCAAAATTTTCTGGGGGCATCCCCCAAAACTGTTAGAGTTGCCACTGATCACACTTGAATGCTAAGTGAACTTTGGTGAAAAAGGATTTTTTTCTTTTTTTCCCTGTAGAGTGGCTAAAGGACACCATTTTCTTAACTGAAAAGCCATTGCAACTTTTCTGTGTATGCTAGTTATGCATAAAAAGACAACAAAATTAATTAAAGTCAAGATTAGCATCCATTTCCCGTCTGCCATGTGTGTAGCAATTACAGCCATCTCATTCCAGACACTCCCGGTAGGCAAGGGAGACAGCCAGAAGTGCTCTGATAGCAAGGGCATGGTGAAGCAACCAAGCCTGGCAACTGGGAGGTGGTCCCCATGTTGGCGGGGCCTGTGCGGATCAGTCGGCACACCAAGCTGCCCTGGAAGAACAGATGGGGCAAAGAAAACGGCAGAAGCTCAGAGAAAAGATCGATCCTGTGGTATTTTGTACAAGAGATATCACAACATAAACATTTTTTGTGGGCTGTGGTCACCACGTTAAGAGCGTTAGTGGCTGGTTTAGGTGGTGGCTTTCTGTAAATGGGAGCCTGCAGCTCAGCAGAGCTGCCTTGAGCAAACTGCTGAGTGAAGAGGTGTAACTGGCCCCGAGGAGAGAGAAGGAAGCACGACAACATGCAGCAATTACAGCTTAGCAGACCTTATTTTATTTCTTTTGAAGGTGGTAATGAGGTCCCTGGAGCCCACCTCTGCTGTAGCTGTTTGTACAGGACACTTTTTTCCTTTCCTATCCTTTGTCTTATCTGTAGTCATTGGTGTGTACAAAGACAAGCCCTCCCAGCTATTCATAATGTGTATTTTGGGCTCACCTGGTATTATCACCTCTTGGCAAGGTTGCCTGACATTATGAGTGCCTTCAAAGGTTATGTATTTTCTAAAGGACAATTATTTAGGCTGGATTTTCCTACGTGAGTACTGCCACAAGCAAAGACTTTTGGTGGAGGGAAGTATCAGACCAGTTAGTTTAGCCACTTCCAAAAATAAGGTTAGAAAAAGTACATTTCTTCATACTGAAAATAAGTCAAACTGCCCTGTTGATATTTTTACAACTGTTATGGAGGCAAGAGGAAGATTTTGGGCAACTAAATGACCTTATGCTTTGCTTCATCCTTCCTAAGTCAAATGAAGGCAGATTGGACTTTCTCTTCTCCACGAGAACTACCTGTGGTCCTTCAGCAAGTGTGTTTGCAAAAGGGCTCTGAAGGCCTTTTCCGGAAAAACTGTGTTACCTCAGGGGTACAGGACTGGGGTTTGGGTGGGGAAGGCTGAGGTGGGGACAGGCAGCCCAAGGTGACACTGGGCAGGAATAGGGCATAAGTGGGACACCAAAACATTCCCTGTGGAGAGACAGCCAGCACATGGCAAGGCCTTCAAACAGAGGTTATCAGGGTGGCCTTAGTAGTAAAAGGATAGTTTACTGCAAAAAACTTAAACAGTCCTTATGTGGGCTTCTGAGGGCCTTTTGGGAAGTACCTATTGTGACCAAGAA